AGTATTCACTAAAACCTGTGGGTATGACAGATGTGAGCGATATTTTATAAAGGAGGTTTTCAAAAGTGAAGAATTTTCCCAAAGTCAAGTAGCTTTATGCATTCTTTCATACAACAAATATTTATTGAGCATGGCTTTGCGCCAGTTAATATTCTAAGTAGTCAAGGTATAGTAGAGAACAAAAGGAAAAAGGCTCCTGCTCTCAGAGTTCACATTCTAGTGGAAACAGACAGATAAAAGAATCATTTATAAATAAAAGAATTCCAGATAATAATATGTATCACTCAAAAAATTAAAATCAGGTGGTATGATAGAAAAAAACAGGGTGGCTATTTGTATTGATCATGGAAAGCCTCTCTGAGGCTTAGGCTAAGAGGTACATGACGAGAGAGCTCAATAAACAAATATCAAGAGAAAAAGACTTCCCAAAAAAAAGGGCAATAGTTCATGCAAAGGTCTTAACAAACAGAAGCAAGCTTGTTACACAGAGAAAAATATAAAGGTCAGTGAGGCTATGTCATAATGGACAAGGAAGGAAATGTTCAAGATGGAAGGGAAAGAAGGAAAATCACATAGGGTTGTACATTGAAATAAGAAATAGGGATTTGATTTTCCATGTAATGAGATACTAGATAAAAGTTTTAAGTAGAGGTGTATGATTTCTCTTTTTTAAAAAAATTGCTCTGTCTGCTACATGAAGAATGGGTTATGGTGGAACAAGACTGGAACAGAAAGTCCCATGTGATGGCCATGGCTGAATCCATTAAGATGTTAATAGGGGATGTAGACAGAAGTTGACAGAGTTAGGACAAGAACAAGAAGACAGATGCATGGATTGAAAGTAGAAGGGTGATCAAGTGTAACCCCTGGGGAGAGAAAGGAGTTCTCTCTAAATTTTTAGCTAGAAAAACTTGGTAGACGGTGCTTTTGCTGGAATGGGAGAAATTGGAGAGAAGGAGGTTTGCAGAAGTGGAAGGAAATCAAGTTCTGTCTTACACATATTAAGTATGAAATTCCTACTAAGCATCTATGTGTACATGTTAAGCTGAATATATAATTCAAAAGTTCAGAAAAAAGTTGGAACTGGTGTGATAAATTTATGAGTTGTTGATATAAAGATACTATTAAAGTTCTAAGATTGATGGAGGCAACTAAAAAGAACCTATAGGTAAACAAGGAAAGGGGACCAGGCAGAAACCAAGGATACTCTAACCTTTCAGATGCCAGCAGTAGAAGAATTGCTGGGACATTAGGCAGAAGTGACCAGTGACAAAAAGGAAAGACTAGGAAATAGGATGGCACAAAAGCCAAGGAAAAAATGTGCTTCAATGAGCAAAATGTGGTCAGCCTTGCTGACTGCTGCTGAGACAAAAAGATTGATTTAGCAAAACAGAGTTCATGGAAGACCTTGATAAATGTAACCTCTGTGGAATGGTGACTATGGATGTCTGCCTGGAGAGAGGTGAAGAAGATGTGTGAACTGAGTAAACATAAGGTGAGGACAATAACCACAGACAGTTTTGTTGTGAGGAAAAGCAGAAAAATAGGGCAGCAGGTTGAAAGAAATCTGGGATCAAAGGAAGGCTTTTTAAAGAAAAAAAAATGTTACCTATTTTATGACCTATGAAAGTCCACAGTCCTAACCAAGATTTCTGAAATATCTGAGAGGAGGCAGAGATGATAGAGATGTGTGTGTGTATTAGTAAATGGATGTTGGTGAGGGCAGCAGAAAGAACTGTAGCAATGGTCACTCAGTAATGGTTATCTCTGTGGTCCCCACACCTTTTATGTACTTGGATCCTTTCTGTCGTCCACTATATTAGCTTACATTCTAACGGTGGAGGGAAGGCGGTTCTTATGGGGTATTCAGGGTGGAAAGACTTTATTGAAGATTTGAGGGTAATGAGGAAGACTCACATAGCATACTGTACACCAAAACAATTTTTAAAAACTCACATAAAATATTCCTTCTCTTAAAAATCAGCCATGCAATCACGTAGTTTTCACCAGCCCATTGTCCTCCATAGCACCCAGACTTCTGCTGTCTGACTGGTTTCTCTCCCCTCATTTCTTCCTCTTTTTTGTTCTATCTTCTGTGTTTCCTCTTAGGCACATACACACACAAATAAAAACTGTGTGTGTGTGTGTGTGTGTGTGTGTGTGTGTGTGTGTGCGCGCGCGCACATGTGTGTGTGATATATAGATTTTTATTGGAGATCTATTTACTCTTTTCTGTGTAGTGGAAAGATGGGCACTTGGGTGCCCACTTATACCTACACCCTTAACTTTTATCCCAAATAACAAAGTTCCCTTTCTAAAAGTAATTCTGGAGCCAGTTCTTAAGATAATACATTTTCCATCTTGTTCCACATATAAACCACCAGACAGAGCACCTATCCTATTAAAGCATTCAACAAGTGCCAGCTCTTGACATTTTTCCTCAGTGAGGAAACCTGAGCAGAGGCAAGCGTTCTGACAGAATTTCAAACAAGGTCTTCCACACAGACTTAATTAATGTTTATTGAGTTGTAAAAGTGGTGCTCTTGGGCTAGAAGAATATTCAATGGCTTCTTCTAAGGGTTAAAAGAAGTTAAGAGCTGTATTCACTATTAAGAATTAAAGATCTAAACATAAGACCTAACACCATAAAAACCCTAGAAGAAAACCTAAGCAAAACCATTCAGGTTTAGGCAAGGCATAGGCAAGGACTTCATAGCTAAAACACCAAAAGCATTGGCAACAAAAGCCAATATAGACAAATGAGATCTAATTAAACTCCAGAGCTTCTGTACAGCAAAGGAAACAATCATTAGGGTGACCCAGCAACCAACAGAACAGGAAAAAAGTTTTGCAATCTACCCAGCTGACAAAGGGCTAATATCCAGAATCGACAAAGAACTAAAACAGATTTACAAGAAAAAAAACAAACAAACAAACCCATCCAAAAGTGGGCAAAGGATATGAACAGACACTTTACAAAAGACATCAATGAGGCCAACAAACATATGAAAAAATGTTCACCATCACTGGTCATTAGAGAAATGCAAATCAAAACTACATTTGAGATACCATCTCATGCCAGTTAGAATGGCAATCATTTAAAAATCTGGAGACAACAGATGCTGGAGAGGATGTGGAGAAATAGAAACACTTTTATACTGTTGGTGGGAGTGTAAATTAGTTCAACCATTGTGGAAGACAGTGTGGCAATTCCTCAAGGACCTAGAAATAGAAATACCATTTGACCCAGCAATTCCATTACTAGGTATATACCCAGAGAATTATAAATTGTTCTGTTATAAAGACACATGCACACTTATGTTCACTGAGGCACTGTTTACAGTAGCAAAGACCTGGAACCAACCCAAATGTCCATTGATGATAGACTGGACAAGGAAAATGTGGCACATATACACCATGGAATACTATGACACAGCCATAGAAAACGATGAGTTCATGTCCTTCATAGGGACATGGATGCATCTGGAAACCATCATTCTCAGCAAACTGATACAAGAACAGAAAACCAAACACCATATGTTATCACTCATAAGGTGGGTGTTGAACAATTAGAACACATGGACACAGGGAGGGGAGCATCATACACTGCGGTCGGTAGGGGGTAGGGGAGGGACAGCAGGGGTGGCGAGGGTGGGGAGGGATAATGAGGGGAGAAAAACCAGATACAGGTGATGGGGGGGGATGAAGATAGCAAACCACCTTGCCATTTATGTACCTATGCAACAATCCTGCATGATCTGCACATCTACCCCAGAACCTAAATTACAATTTAAAAAAAAAAAAAAAAGAACAGAGTAATAGGCCCTGTAACTTCACAGCTTTTTAGAAAGTGTTTATTAGTCCAAAAAGTTTTGATCCTTTAAAACATTAAAATCCTAGCACACTATATTTATGCAGTCTCTCTCTTCTTTTTCTAGAAATATTAATTTTAATATATAAAAGATAGATAAATGAGATTTGACCTTATATGGTTTTCAGAAACCTGCATCAATCTGAACTCTCCAGCCCTTCACCCAAAGAATGGTAACTTATAAATATACTCACTGGCAAAGAAATTTGGACATATAAACATGTGCCCTTAACTTTTGCAACTTTTTGCACATCTGTAAAGGTCATTCAGGAAAAAAAAGTACATTAAAAAATAGCACTATTATATTCTGAGTAAAAAAATCCAGTTTTTATATGTCAGTGTGACTGGAACAAAGAGAAAGATGCAGGCATCAGGAAGATTTACAACATGATTGAAATCTTAGGTTTAAGGGACCCTTCTATTATAATTTGCAGATTTGGTATTTAAACACATTTCATCTAAGAGAAAGAAGACCTGGAATCTTCTACCATCCTTATCCAATTTACTGTTCATATCTGTATGCACATGATTGAAAATATATTTGGAAAGCCAAACCAAATGCCCCATAAAACTAGCACTACTCCGAGACAGTCAGTGACCACTTTAGTGCTAAGGGTTATAGGAAGAAGAGATGGGACACAGACAATAAGCAAATGTTCATTAAATATAGTTTTGACTGGCTCCCGTATACCTCATCTTTGACCACCAAGTACTCCCTGCCACCTCTTTAAATGTAATCCTTGTCTTTCCCAATGGGAACAAAGTACGTTTTCTTATTTACAAAAACATCTCATCACGACGAAATGAAAATAACTGACACTTTCTATTTTTAGAACTAGTATCTCTAATTCCCTCTGTGTTACTATAGGCAACTGGGACTTCAGTTTCAAATCACACACACTTGTACGCAAGTACACACACACAGGCAGAAATATTGGGAGTGGAAATCAATTATGCAGATAATTTTTTTATTATAGCATTTTTTCTCAAAAGGTGAGGTCAAAAGAATAAAAAGAGATAACTATTTAGGTAAAAATAGTACTTTGTGCACTAGAAATTAAATGTAACAACACAGATATAATGCAGAGAATGGATGAATTAGAAAAACAATACGGCTTCTAAGGCTCACCTGTACAAGAGAAGTCATCCACACGAATGTATCCTGGGATACAGTCACAGCGATATAACCCAGGAAGATTGACACACACAGTATTGGCATGACAGTAATGCATCTTAGCTGCACACTCATCAATATCTGAAGGAACAAAAAAAGACACAAGATCATGATTAGTAAAATAATGGAACGAGAGTGTAATCATATTGAAGATAAATTACTAAAGGTGAATGTCCATTGAAGGCAAAAGTTACATGCATTAAACACAAAAGCTTAAGTAAAAATTCATCTGGGTGCATTAGATCCCATCCTGAGCTGAAAGTGTTTTTAGAACAATGCATGGTGGGACACAACAGGTAAGAACCTAAGAAATATGAAGACTGAATTTACAACTGTTAGTTTCTTCCCAAGGAGAATACTCATTTTAAATGCACAAATTCAAGGAGTTCTGTGTCCACTAAGTTGATACTAATGAATATTTATTAGGTGTCCACAGTACATGGTGTAGCTTTTATCAGAGGAATCAAGGGAATCTAGTCCCTCTGCTTGTACATCTTATTAAGACATATTTCAACCCATCTGCTAAAAAATGATGGTGTAGCCAGTTTCTCCCATGTTGTACTATGAAAATAGCCACTGTGGTCTGATACAAATTAATGTTTCTCATCTTTTGACCTGGGGCTCTTCCCCATGTGATAGAACAATGGACTAATTCAACAAAAAATCTTGTTCTCTTTGGGATGGAGTTCAGAGCATCATCTGCTTTCTCACAAAAGTTCATGATGGGGATTAAAATAACCTACAACCTTAAGCACAGAGTTTAGCCGTTTCTGGAGATTGTTTTCAAAAATAGATTTATGTTCCTTTTACTCAGACTGCTTGTGTGTGATAGTTAGAGAGAGAACATGAGTACATTATGGGAATCCAAGATAGAAAATATGAGCTCTAGTTCCGGTTCTGATGGTTAATAGCCTATGACTTGCATTCAACTACTCTGGGTCCCAGTATAGTCATCATTTTGTCCCAAGAGTCAATTCCGAACCCAGTGTTTTGTATCTGTAAAGACATTATCTAATTTAATCCATATGCAATACCATGACCAACATACAAACACTACTCCCATTTTACAGTCAAGAAAATAGAGGTTTAGAGAATGTAAATATCTGGCACAAGTCATCCTGTTAGAACATGCTAGACCTGGGATTTGAATTTAGAAGTTATTTACTATGATTTACTTCATGAAAGCACCTTGCAAACAGTGATTGGTCAAGTACAGTATTTCTATTACGATAATCATTGAAGCTTTAAGTATTATTACTGTACAGAAACTGAGGTTAAAATGGCTACACTGAGTCACTAGGAAACTCATTAATCTACTTATTTTCAAAGAAAAGTCAGTTGATATATTTCCTAATAAAATACATTGAAATAACATCAGATTCTTTTCAGGGTTAAAGATCTGACAGTCTATAAATAAAAGTTATTGTGAGGTCATTTAGGTCTGAGAAGGAGACCCACAGATAGCAAGACTTTCGTAACTATGAAATAAGAACAGAACACCAGAAATTAGTGAAATAAGTCAGGCAATCAACTTCCTGCAGGCCAATCACCATCTCAGAGGTTGCTTCCTGGGGAACTCAACTTGCACCAAGACTCCTGATGAAGGCAAGGAATTATTACAGTCAGACCACTGGAATGCAAGAGATGGAAAACTAAAAGAAGGAGTCATAGAGTACTGTGGTGATATTAAGATTTTAGAAGTAATTTAGTTATTGTTGCTTATAAGGTCTTTGGCAGAACTATGTGGGGGGAATAGATATAGCAAATGAGAGGTTGGGAACAAGAAGAGAAGGCAGGTATTAGAGAGGGCTGCTTGACATCAGTGTGTTGTTCATAAAATATTACCAGTTTTCCTCTCTCTGAGCACACTGTACAATTACATTTCCCCATTCTTTTCAAATTTATGCATGGTTTAAATTAATCTCATGACTGAGCATGAAATCTGAGTGGAAGCTTATCATTTCTAAGTGGAAAGATGAAGAGCCATCATTCAGCTTACCACATTTTCTTGTTTCTGCCTTGTAACTCACGGAAGCAAAGACATGGAGACTCTTTCAGCCTGGGTCCCCAAGTGAGGAGCAAACCATGAGGGAAGCACCACATACATGTCGCATGAGCTAAAAATATGCCTTTTTTGACTTTAGCCACCGTGCCTTCTCTGACAGGTGCAGAGAATGACTATAAAAGTTATCTCAAAAAAGGGTATCATTAAGCTTCATCTTGAAAGATGAACAAGAATTCATTAGGTAGGGAACAAATGTAGGGAAACTATAGAAGCTAAAGTTTTTGTCAAGTTAGAAAGGGAAAGAATTATTTAGTCGTGTACACTCAAAGAACCTTCGTTAGCCTTCTACTAAGCCCAGAGGTGGAGGAGTGATGAACACAATGTCACATTTTGGTAACAAATTCTACCAAGGATGTAAGACCTTTCAACAAGGGGAATTTCACCTACTCTGAGAAAGTCAGAGAAGGATTTTCTATGGTAGCGATGCTTCTTCTGAGACATGAAACAAGTAAAACAGGCCAAGGGAAGAGAAATAACCTACCAGACAGATAAGAACGACTGAGAAGACTGTTAAAAAAAAGGAGCTTTGCCTATTTGAAATGAAACTAGAAAAATAAGCTTGGGCCAGATCCTGTATGGACATTAGTGTGCTGCTCATAAAATATTACCAGTTTTAGATCCTGCCAGGCATTGTAGGCCATGTGAAGGAGCTCAGACTTTCATCAGGATAGTAACACAATTCAGTTTCTCTGTTTTCAAAATATTACTCTGGCTGTAGTGAAGAGAATTGATTAGAGCAGGGCACGCTGAAGGCTAAATCATGCTGGTATTTTACTCACAGATACAGCCACACTGAACTCCATCTCACTCTGCTGGGATGCTCAGCCATCCTTTAAGATGAGAAACTAGTCAGGACTTGCCTTAGAGGCAATTCAATCTTTGGCCCATGGGCCACAGCTGCCAACCAGCCTGCTGACTGCAATGAATGTTTCCTTGTCACAGACCCTTGTCAATACCTCCCAGAGAAACCTCCTAGCTCATTTCCCTTAGGCCATCACCAAGCTGCTGAGAGGCCTCCACCTCATCTAGATTTGAGGGAGTTACTTGGCTATAACAAGCTTATTTTGAATCAAACCAGCCAAGCTATTTCCTTGTTTCATAAGATTCCAAGGCACTGAATAAAAATATTTTCAAAAACCAGACAAGGGATGGTTAGAAAACCCCAGTGAGAAATATTCATGTGGATTCAATCTAATCCTTGCTCTCTACATGTTATCAAGACCCCATGCCCACACATCCCTGCTGCTCTGCTGATGTGTTTGTGAATAGGTTGTTTTCACTTTATACCATTATTAATTTCAGCTCTTGCATATCTAATAATTTCCTGGTACTAGTCCAGAAAAAGCACTGAAATAAAGATGGAAAGTTGACAAATGTACCAGAAAATTAAACTGTCACAATCTTGCCTTTGTTACTTATTCTTCGTCATGTAACCACCAGATATAAAAGCTACCTTGTGGTAAAAATGGTGGAGACAGGAGAGGGAAAGGGAAGTGGAGTAATCCAGCTGAGCCTCTTGAGACAAGAAGATAAAAGAAAGGAAGGAACTGGCAACTCCTATGGTTTTGGGATGGGGACAGGGGATGGAACACGTTTGCCAAAAGATTGCCTCTCCATCCTCAGGGAAACACACAACCCAGAAGACAGTTTCCATAGGATTTTAGGGTGTTTCAAAAGCAAATCTCATTATATGATTATAAACTGAGTCAAAAAAGAATTAACATCTATACAGAGCTGGGTTATCCTGAGATAACAATCTTCAGAAATAGCAAACAATTGAGATTTTATAAATGAGCCTAGGATATAGGCTGCTTTTTGTTCACAGAAAAAAGGCTCTGAAAGGTATTGAATAATTACAAAACAGAAATCATAACTACCTAATGAAAGAATGAACTGACATTTAAAGAGAGAAATTGAGTTGGACCAAAGCAATGAGAATGCTAACCACAGGCTTGAAATGCAGTCTGACCTCTGCCCAGGTGGCGAAAGTGCTCTGCCTGAAGCAGATAATCTTGAGCAATGGCCATATTCATCCAGAAGCCAGGAGACAAGAAGAGGCTAAGCCTGAGGCTAAATCTCAGAGTGGAAGTTGAACACACACAAATCCAGGCTCATGCTAAAAATCCGAATCAGTCCAGAAAGCTTTGCTAGGAAGAACCACTGTTAACCCAACATTTACCAGAAGGATGAATTATTTTAAAAGCACAGTGTTAGACACAGGCTGATACCAATATTCTGAGATGGTACATACCTTATAAAAGAAAACTAAGAACAGCCCCTAGTTACCAATTGGCAATTGGTAAATACCCAATAAATATCTGCTGTCGTTTTAGGTATCAGACACTATGCTAGGTACTTTATATGGAGCATCTCATCATTCCATTTATCTTAACTACTCGTAGGTAGGTATCTCCATGCCATGAAACTGAGGCTCAGTGGTATCAGGTCACTTCAGTTGCCACAGTACAAAATCAGTAAGCATAGAAACCTGGGTCTGAATCCAAACAATATGATGACAAAGTTGTCATTGTTCTCACTGTGCCAGTTTTAGTGCTGAATTACATTTTGATGCTATGATTATGTTAGCTGTATCTGCTGTTTATGACTATGATTATGTCAGATACATCATGATGTGTTTGGAAACAAATGGATCTCTAAGTTCTATATCCGTGTGCAAGGCCATTCATGACATTTGTTCTGGCATTACATTGTCTGTTAAAATGGCACTTCTGCTCCTTGCATCACTGCTTCCTTGGATCTTTTAAATCAAATCCTTATACTTTCACACTTTAGACTCCAGTGACCCAAGGCCCCGAAACTGGCAGGATTTTGCTCCCAACTGGGAACTCACAGGTTGAAACAGCCTCTACTTATATAGCTTGAGACTATGAAATTAGTATTAAAAAGTAGTTTTAAGTTTTTTATTATTAAGTATTGTTAGAGAAACATCTAAAAACCCCAGTACAGCATATATCATCTTGACTATAATGGGGCTTAAATTGCGATTCATTCATAT